GTCACTAATTGAACTGTTGGAAGTCAAGGAACTACCCGTATACCATCAAAGCAAATTACAAAGCCGCTAAGAGCAGAGGAAAGGGGCTAATTCAGGCATCGGTTATTCCACATGAAAAATGGCCCAGGTAAAATAAACGATTAAATAAATAACTGCTACCTTGGCGATGTGAGAATCCAACCACCGATACCCCAAGAACACCAGGTGGCCTCCTTTCCCCCCTGTCCTTTAATCTCTCGCAAACTTCACCCTCCAGTGATACCTTTATCTCCTAGTTCCGTTTCTATTAAGTGATTCACACACACTTTCCAGGTGCCCTTGAAACAAGTTTAATCCATGTGGCAAAGGAAAACATATATTTTGCTGGAGCTGCCACAAGGTGTCAGTAACGTTTTAAGAGATTCCTGTGTCTCTTTTCTCCTGATCTCTCTGGGCCTGTCTCTGGGTCACAAGAGCCGAGCCAAGCTAGCTAGGAATCCTTGGGGATGACGGTGGACACCATTCGGGGACCCTCCTTGAGGGTCTTGGGGTGGAGTGTCTAGAAACTCAATAGACAGCCCACCCCACCCCAATGATCCTCCTGGGTAACCAAGCCTCTGGCATCCTGGCCGGACTACAGCTCCCATCGGCCTCCCCCAGCCAGAGAGGCCGCAGACGGAACATCTCTTTCGATTCGCTTTACGGCGGATTCATCGGGGGGGGGGGGGGGGCTGCTTTGCTGGTGATCTCGCGACCCCCGGAGATCACAATGTAAAAGCATCGTGTGTGCTATCAACGATCGGACAGAAAAGCCAGCGGCCCCCATCCCCCCTGTGCGTGCCAGTGGAGGACGACAACAACACCCATCCTCCCCAGCCATCCTTCTCCCATCAGGGGCTCAAGTTGCAAGGCGAGCTAAGTGTGGTGGCAGAAAAGGAGGGGCTGCTTTGAATGCTTCCCTGCATCCAGGGTGGAAATGATGAAGATGAGGATGATGATAAGGATAGACATTGATAATTGATAATAAAAATAGATTAATAAAATAGCAACAGTAGCAACAATAATATAATGCAATTAATATAACAATAACAAAACAAGAAAACAGCAACAACAGTTAATAAATTCATAAATATGCGCCCCCCCCCCGCCCCCAGCTCAGCAGAGGCGGCTCCGTGCGGGCTCTAAGACCCAGCGGAGTCGGCCCCTGCGCCGCGATTGGCCGTCGCTCGCGGCAACGGCGGACGACGGGCGCGCGCCTCTCGCTCGGCTTAACGGCCACCAGGCTGCTGCGGCGCATGCGCCGGGCCGCGAGCCCACCCAGGGGGCGGGGCCGAGGAAGCCCCAAGCAAAACAAAGCCCGAGGCCAGCCGGGCGGTCGCGGCGGCGGCGGCGGCGGCGGGATGAGTCGCCGGCTGCCCGGGCTGAGGAGAAAGCGCGCAGCGGTGGCGGCGTCGGCGACCTGAGAGGCGCACGGCGCTCTCTATGCCCCCTCCTCCCCGCCGCGCCCCCCACCCAGCTTCGCCCGCCGGCCGTTGGGGGCGTGAGGGAAGCCCCGCCCCGCCCCCGCAGGTACGCCCCCCCCCCGCCCAGGTGGGTAAGTGGGTGGACGGGCCCATCATCCCCTGCCGGGGAGGGGAGAAGGGAGAGTGCGGGACGTGCTGGGGCTGGACTACAGAGCCCAGCCTCCTTGGGAGGGGATGGGGGGCTTGCTTCCCCTGCCCCTTTGTGGGGCGTGCCTAGTTGGGTAGTACACATCCCATCCTTCTTACCTCGGGGGGTGGGTCCCTGCTAGGAGGCCCATGATCCCCAGCCTGCTTCTCTGGGGATCGGAGAGCTAGGAGGGATGGGGAAGATGGGACTTAGGCTCCTGGTTCTGGGTGGAATAGACTACACATCCCATTCTTCTCTTAACGCTTGGCTGGGTCCCCACTAAGAGGCCCATGGTCCACCGCAGCCTGCCTCCTTGAAGATTGCAGAGCCAGGAAGAATGAGGAAGATGGGACCCTGTTTCCTTGCCCTTGTTGGTTCTTTGATGGGTTGGACTAAAGATCCCATCTTGCCCAGCGCAGGATTGTGGAGGTTGGGGTTCCATTCCCCTGCCACTGAAAGTTCTATGGTTTGGACTACAAATCCCATCCTCTGGCCTCTTTGCCTGCTCCCCAACAAAACCCATTCTCCCCAGCAGGTGCCTCCCTAAGGATTGGGGGACCTGGTGCTGGGAAGGATGGGGAGGATGGGGCTGGGGTTTCAAATGGCTCAGACTACAAATCCCATTCTTCTTGGCCTGTCTGTACAGCTGTGCAAGTCTCATTCCATTTGCTGGAGATTGGGGAACCAATTCCTGTGACGGCTGGGTAGGTCATTTCCCCCATTTTGGGTGCTAGTGTGGGTTCTAGGTGGACTACAAATCCCATTCTCTCACATCTTCAGGGCTGTTACCCACCCAACAAAGACCCCACCAATGCATCACTGTGGAAACCAAATGCAATGATAGATGAGATTGGACTACGATTAGATGAGGCTAGATGAGATGGAACTACAACTCCCATCTCCTTCCAATCAGCTGGGCGGACTGGCATCCCAGTGCCACCTGGAAGGCCCCAGGATGAGGAAGGGTCACCCTGGAATCCTCCCCTGCCTTCATCCAGACCCACCAACCCATTTAGAACTGCGTTCAAGTGGGCTGCGCTATAAATCCCATCGCACCCAGTGGGTTATATTCTGGCTGGGTGCGATGGGATTTATAGTGCAAGCCCACCTGAACGCAGAATGGCCTTTCCATTATTGCCCTCTCCATTAGAGAATCTCTGGCACCTTCTGGGCATTGATTTAAATGCGCACCACAAAAATATCGGTGCCCAAACGGCCTGGGAAGACGTTAATAGCCCTCTTGCTCATGCGTGTGTGCTTGAAACGTGCTCCCCCCTTGCACACGTAGAGACTTCCACCTCCCAAAGGAGACATAAATCTGGAAAGACAAGGCAGGGGTTCTAAAATGCACGGGGTTATAAATACAGCCCTGTATTGTGCTGTATTATAAATGCACTGTATTATAAATATAAAATCTTATTTCACACATGCACGCACAAAAAGCTTCGTCAGCCTATCTTTTTCGGACAGCCACCCTTGCCGACAATCAATGATATCATAATGCTTTTTTTAAAAAAAATATTGACACCCCTCCTTCCTTTGGAGGCTCAGGTGGCTCCAAGCGATCCCACACCGGTCTCTGATGATGCAATTCACAACCCGAGTCTCGCTTTGTGGAGGAGGAGGAAGGAAGAGCCGGCGGTCTTAAGAATGAAACCCTCCAAATTTCACGAAAGGCTTGTGAAATTCCTTGGGTGACTTCAGAGCCGGCCCCGTCTCACCTTCTAAGGCTGCGGAGAGGAAATTGCAGGGCAGTTGGGAGAACTGTGATACTGGAGGCTTAAGAAAGGCCGGTAGCAACACAACAGGCGATATATACAATAACAAGTGAAACAGCTGGAAAGGGCCTCTTAGGAGTGTGGTTCCTGCTGCGGAAGGCAAAGCCTGATTTCTCCTTTCTGGAAACGGGCGCAGACCAGGGAAAGCACCCCATGTGTGAAAGGAAAGATGGTTCAGTGGAAAGGAGGCCAGGGACTTTGATTTACACGCCTGGTTTGAGTTGGGATGGTCAGGAACTGAGGATGGGGCTTATCCTGGAGGCAGGACATTCCGGTTTGCAAGGCCTGCTTGATTCACCTCTAAATGGGAGTTTCATTGGTGAGGATCCCTTTTTCTGTTTTTTTTTTTGTCGGGAGACACACTGTTCCTTTAATGGGTTTATTGGGAAGAAAAAGATTCCAATCGATGGAGTTGCAGTTTTTGTTTTTAAACCCAGTCCTGTTCTGAAAGCGAGCGGAGTTGCACATTTTAAAACTCAGTCCTGGGGTTTTTAGGGTGCAGATGAGAGCTGGTCCCAATCAGGTCTCCTTTCCAGTTTCTCAGATGAGGCTCTGAACTCTTGTACCCCTGCAGAAAAGGGGAGGGGGGCTTAAACACCTTCCCCCCCCGCCAGCTGCTTTCCAGGGAGATACAGGTGTGGGAGGGTTGAGCGGGTGGCCTGGAGCAGAAGAGCCACCCCTTTCTGTCTGCTCCTGTCTCTGCCCCGTTGCCTTTGTGAGTTTGCAGTTGGGGGCAGCCTGAGTGATAATGTTGGTCTACTACTCCGATCTGTGCATGTTCCTATGACGATCACGGTAAGGCACGGACAGACGGATGGGGAGGGGGCGCTTTCTACGTGCCGTCCCTTGTCCACTTGCTAATCGGGTCGGAGGCTTCTAGACGGCGGCTGTGCCCCCCCCCCCAGAGTCAAAGCAAGGAAGCCCCAGAGGTAAGGGGTGGGGGGCAGGAACTGTCCCTCGGGGGCAGCCGAGAGAGCTGTCGGTCTGCATTTTGCGTCCGTTGCTGGGCTTTTCGACTCCTTGCCACTTTGCATGGTTTTAATTTGAGGTCGGGTTTGTTTTTGGACGGCTTTCAAGCGTTTGGCAACGGAAGCCCCTTTGTTTTGCTTTGTTTTTCCTCCATGCAGTTGTGCACGCCGGCTGGGATATGAACAGAGGGGCACGCTTTACATAATGTGGTTGCAAAAGCAGCCTCTTCACTTCCCCCCCCCCACCCCCTTCCCCCCCTCCCCCCCCCCCCCCAGCTCTGCTTCTTCACTTTATATCGGAAAAACCACGAAGCCCCTTCCAAGCTGTGCCAAGCAGCTTCCTGCCAGTGAGGTCAGCCCTGTGGTAGCTGTTTGTCAACACTGTAGAAAGAGCAGCATCTCGGTTGCCTGTGTTGTTATTATTACCATCATCGTTATTTTATTTTTTATTTTTTTTTCCCACTTGGATCCAGCAGGTGCTGGCTGGCTACAGGAAGGTCTGAACACTGTCTGGGACTCAGTTGCCGCACGTTCGCCTCCCTCCCCAGGTGCTGTGTTGTCTAAACCAGGCTGGAGGTGTCTTGTCTATTTTTAGCGAGCTGCCTCTTGCTAAAACGGGGCGGCAGCTACGAAAAAGGAGCCAAAAGTCTCCTGCAGGCTCCCAGTTTCCTGCTGCCCACCAAGATCAGGGAAGGAGGAGATGCTTGGGTTAAAATAATCAAAGGGGGGGCAAGCTGACTTTTGGCTTGGAGTCCCCGGCGATGAGGGATAGCTTTGGAAACTCCTGACGTTCCGGGATCTTGGCTCTGTTTGGGTTGCAGCCCGGGTGAGATCCATTGTTCAGTTCTTCTCTCGAGGCAGGGGGATGTGCTTGCACGGGGAAAAATGCTTGGGCTTGTTTTGAACGAAGTGCCCTGTGATTGCCTTGACGGGCTCTGAAACTGGCGTGGCTATGTGTCAGTGTGTACCCTGAATGCTAGTTGGTTCCATTTGGAGCCTTAGAGGCCACTTCGTCATGACGAATAAAAGAAGGGAATGACTTGGCTTCCAATGAACGATCCTTTCTACGTCTGATTTTAATAACTCGGAGCGCCTTTTAACAAAGATGAAATATTAAGTTCCCGCTGATTAATCCCCAACATACAAGGGATCACCGACCCGATTGTAATAGCTCTTATTTTCACCTGGAGCGGCCGCGGTAGCTTGCCAGTTGCGCTTAGCATATTTTATCAATGAAAGAAAGAAAAGGGGCTTTAATACTAAACGGTTGTGAAATGCATGTTGATGACGGAGCGGTACGTGTGCAGTAAGGGCAATTCGAGTGGCCTGTTGCTTGCAGGACTGTCCAATCCTCGGCTGGGGTAGGGTGGCTGGATTTATTTTGGCAATCTGGCTTTTGTGGCAGGTAACGTGCTTAAATATTTGTTTATACATCCGGGTGCAGAAGCAAGACAGCCCTCTGTGTTGTAAGATTGGCTGCTGCTTGGCTACCAAGAGTTCTTGTTTTCTTTAAATGATGTCATGCTAGCTGGCAGAATTGCACATGGGGCCTGAATGGCGAGTTCGTTGGGACGCCTGATGTAAATTAAATCAGTGCCACCTCCCAAGTATTTTTTTTTTAAATAGCTTTTTGATCTCTGAACTGATTCTAATGACTTGGGTTGGCTTAAAATAGGTTTTCTAGAAAGTCAAGCCAGTCACTTGAATTATCTCTCGCTTTCGAAGCAGTGCTAACTGCGATGGCTTTCTTTTCTTTTTTCTTTTTGCAAATGTTTAGGTCATGTTCCTTGCTTTGTTGTCACACTTGTGCTTTGTTGGATGGCTCTTTTGTTCAAGAAAATTTGCATTGGTCAGGCAGTTAGAAGCAACCTGCCATTCCTGGCTTACGCGGTTTTACTGGAGCTGAATTCATTGGGTTTGGTCCTGTAGCTGAACTAAACAAATTGTGAAATTGTGGTATGGAAAACTTTGGAATTGCAGGTACATGCAAACGCCTTCCTGCTTTGCAAACCTTCCCAGGGCCGCGTATCTTAAAAGAATGTTCTTAGTTGACCAACACTCAGCCTTGCTGTAGGCCATAACCCAGTCCTGAAACACAATTGCATGACGCTTTCTTTTTCTATAGATCTCCAGTTAATTCTTACGTTTACATTTAATAGACTTGATTCATCCCAGTAGGATTTCTGACTACTGAGTCCTTGCTATTCTGGAAACGTGGTTGCTTTCTTGCTGACGTTTCATGACCCAACTGGGTAACATCATCAGTGCTAGCAGAAGAAACCAGCCAAGCTCAGAGAGTAGCAAGGACCCCACAATTCAAACCTGAGGTGCAACTATTCTCTCCTGTATTTCTGGACGTTGCAGAATCAAGCTGTCCCCTCCAGCTTCTGAGTCCGTCCTAAATGATGGGCTCTTTTTTGCTTTACAGCACGGAGTTGTTCACCACCCTTCAATTCTGCCACTAAGACACAGTGGGACTTGTCAGTGAACGCACCGCACCACAACTTCAAAGCTCACCTGAGTCACAACTCTTCCTTGTGGCACTTCCTCCCTGGTCTTGGCCTAGAGACCCCTCCAAACTTCCCATTATTATACATTTTCTGGCCATCCGAGTCAATTTGGGGCAGGTATGTCATTTTGCGCGAAAGCGGGGAAGGATCCAAGAAAGCCTGCATACCTTTGGACTTGGCCTTCTTCTGAAACGAGATAACGCAGATGGGCTTTTAATCTCTTGTCACTCCATCACTGCTCTTGTGCTGCCATTTTCCCGCTGGCTTAATTCTTTATTTTTTGTGTGTGGCAGATGGGTTTCTCAGATATGTTTCCAGAATGGATGGAGAAGTGGCAGGGATCTTGATGACTCTTTCTCTGGGAGGCCTCCTGGTAATTGTGCCGGAGAGCTGGAGAACAGACAAGCCCATCACCATTTCTCAGGGCCTCCTCTTCCCTCCCACCACCCTGGCTGAATGCACCATAACAAAACGCCGGCTGTCTTTTTTTTCCTCTCCTCCCAGTCATGTCACTGGTAGTGTCAAATCTCAGAATTTACGTCTTATTTATACTAGAAATTCAAGGCGAAGAAGAATCGTATAACAGGAGGTTGCTCACAAAGGTCAGCACTCGGATAAACTTTGTGATGTCAAAAGACACCTTCTCTTTCAACAGAGCTGAGCCCAAATCACATAGGATAGCAGGAAATATTGGTAGCTCATGGCTGAACTGTGGGGTCTTTGATGCTCTCTAAAACTTGGTTGTTTTCCTGTAGATGTTTCATGACCCAGCTAAGTCACATCATCAGTGCTGGAAGGGAGTGGAGGAGGACTGTGGGGTCTTTGATGCTCTCTAAAACTTGGCTGTTTTCTTGCAGACGTTTCATGACCCAACTAAGTAAGATCATCAGTGCCTAGTAGGGGGGGAGGAAGAGGAGGACAACGACTGGGGGTCATTGGTGCTTTTTTGAGCTTGGTTGTTCTCTTGCAGAAAGAGCATTGATTATTTTCCAAATCACCCATTTTCCAAAGCCCCAGAAGGCAGGACAAGAAACAATGGATAGAAACCAATCAAGGAGTGAAGCAACCTAGAACTAAGGAGGAATTTCCTAACAGTGAAAGTAATTAATCAGTGAAACGCCTCCAGAAGTTGTGGCTGCTCCAACACTGGAAGTCTTTAACAAAGGGATTGGATGGCCACTTGTCTGACATAGTACAAGACCTTCTGCTTGAGTGGAGGGTTGGGCTAGAAGACCTCTATGGTCCCTTTCAACTCTGCTCTGCTGTTACATTACTTCATTTGGTAATGAAATATGTGCAAACAAACAAACAAACCCCAAGCTCAGAGAGCACCAAGGGACCTCACAGAAGAGGTAATCCTCAATTCCCAACCACAACTGGGGGGCAGAACTCCTGTTGCTAAACAATGCAGTCATTAAGCAGCTCACCCCTGATTTCACCTCTTAGTCATTAAGCGAATCTAACACCCCCCATGAATTTTGCTTGACGAAAGCCATGAAGGGGGCAGATTGCGATCACGTGACCCCAGGATGTTGCAACCATTGTAAATCCATGCTGGTTGCCCAGCGCCCAAATTCTGATCACGTGACTGCAGGGACGCCGCAACTGTTTTAAGGGTGAGAAGTGTTGGTAAGTCACTTTTTGCATCACTTTGAATGGCCATTAGAAAAATGACCATTCACAGTGGTGAGGAACCATGACCATCCCAAAAAATTGGCCATACGCTACGAACCACCTGCCTGTGTCCTTCTACTGCTGCACCAGAGAGAGTATCTTAACTTACTGGATCTGTGTATGGTTTGCCAATTGCAAGGAGGCGGATAGGACAGGGCTCCAGAGGGTGAATGTCATTGCCCAGGGGATCACTGGTTGTCCTCTCCCCTCTTTGGAAGAGCTTTAGAGCTCCCGCTGCCTTAAGAAAGTTCAAAACATCCTCAAAGATCCATCTCATCCTGGGAATCCTTTTTTTTTTTTTGAACTATTACCACCTGGTAGACGGTACAGGATAATAAAAACAAGGACAAATAGGCTGAAAAACAGCTTCTATCCCAGGGCAGTAGCTCTTTTGAATTCTGCTGTATAGTGCAAGATTAATATAACGTCAGGGCTTTTCAATTCAATGTACAGAATGTGAAGGGTGTGTATTTGTGTTTATTTTCATAGTCATAATGTACACTGAAGATGGCGTTTGATTTCGTTGTACGAGGTGCAGTGACAATAAACTAAACTAAACCTGCAAAATGGTATCACGGGCTCCATCCTTCCATTTCTAACAGGTGCTCCTTCCCCTTGGCCGCCTCTGTCAAAGACCATGTCAGTCAAAAAGAAGAAGAAAAAAAAACACTTGCTACTTCACTGGAAAAAAAGTATGTTTTGCAAGCGAGCCGGAGAGTTTTATGATTATCCTGCTTGGCTATTGCAACATACGGGCAAGCCCAGGGACGTCGAACGTTTAAAGACCTGTGGGCATCAACTCCCAGAAACTCTCCAGGGCTGGCTGGGCGATTCTGGGAGTTGAAGTCCACAGGTCTTAAAGATGCCACGGTTGGACAGCCTCAGGCCCAGGCATAAGGGAGTTTGAATAGCGTTCCACTCGGCTCATTCGTGGCCCTCGCCTCCGGTTTCATGTTTTGTGTGTGCTTGCATCCTGCCTTCTGCTGCGCTGGGTTCCTGATGGCCTGACGGAAGGTGTGTAGAGATCTGTTTAGATCCTTTATGGGGGTAGGATCTAGTGACTGCATGAAATACACACCCGAGACCCTTCCCTTTATTAAGCAAGGTGTGGCTAGGCATGCGACAGGATGGTGGAGGACTGACCGCCTGACACCCGTTTTCCTTCCCTTGCAGGATTTTAACAGTTTCTCCAGTAGCGTCTGTGTGGAAAGGGCCACACAACCTCCACAACAACGACGGCTTTTGCCTGCATTTTCCAGTGTTTCTTTTGTCAACAAGTTCAGCAAAATTGTTTCCCAAGTGCCAGCCCTGATCAGACCGAGGAGCCAGCGACAGAAATGGTCAAAATGACAAAATCCAAAACGTTCCAGGCGTACCTGCCAAATTGTCACCGAACCTACAGTTGTATCCACTGCAGAGCCCACCTGGCCAATCACGACGAGCTCATTTCCAAGGCAAGTGGCTAGACCTCATGCATGTTTCGTATGTGATGCCGTTAACTGTTCGAAGGCCCTTAAGCCAGAACAGGAAGTTAGGACCGGCGCTTACATTTTGGAATCCTCTGCCTGAGAATTCGGTGAATTTAAAAGGCATAACGCGAATAGGTACGGAGTGGTTTTTTTCAAACTTGGCAACTTTTAAGATGTGTGGACTTCAATTCCCAGACTTCCTCAGCCGGCATTCTGGGAGTTGGAGTCCACACACCTTAAAGCATGCTGGCTGGGGAATTCTGGAAGATGAAGTCCATCCCAAAGCATGCTGGGTAGGGAATTCTGGGGTCTGAAGTCCATACATCGTAAAGTTTCCAACTTTGAGAAACACAAGTAGAATCAGCCGTGTGTGTGTGTTTTTTGTATCCGCTTCATCCAAGAAGATTATGCATTAAACAACAGAGTGTTTAAAGGTGGGTGGTTTAGTTTGTTTTTTTCCATGCTTAGTTAGAAATGTAATCCCTCATATAAAACGTAGCTAAGGAGTAATCTCTATGTATTCTACTACTAGGACACCCCCCCCCCCCCCAAAAAAAAAAAAGTCTATGGAGACACTCAATCATCCAGGTCATAGTTGTCCCAAAGATGCTTTTTCAAGAGGCAGTTGGAATTTGTTTTGTGTTTTACCCTAAGTTGTTTAGTGAAAGCATATCAGAAGCCACAATGACACTGCTTCCAAATGACACTTTTTTAAAAAAAAAAATCCTCCTTATTCTTTTTCCCCTAATCCATACTTGAAAAGACTGAAAACTGAAACCCCCGGAGAACTCTATATATTGTGAACAGATTCTTAGCAGCCCGTCTCCAAAATTCTGTATAATCCTTTGTCTGCTTGAGCTTATTTTCACCCCCACAAGTGTATTTCTTTCTCCTTGGTGTATCTGGAACCTCTTCCTGCTGCATGTATTAGAGAGAGATGTTGTACCGTAAGACGAGAAGTCACCTTGTAAGGCCCAGATTTCCCTTCTTAGCATTGACATAGCTACCTGTCAGGATTCCAGCAATCACCCTCATTAAATCATGACTCTTGAGCCAAACTTCAAAAAACTTCAAAGGATTTATTAGAGGCGACATACTGGCACTGCCCTGTATGAAGCCAACTCTGACATACGTCATTTACCGTCACCTGTTTCCCCCTCACCCCCCTGGGTGGGTATCATAAGTCAGATTCTCCAATTAAGCTTGTTCACAGGTTGGGCGTCATCATTCACCTTCTCCAATTAAATATATTCACAGGCAAAAGCTCTGTTACAGTCTTTTAAAGACAAGAGTTGGAATATTCTTTCGTTTTCAAACTGCTCTTCCAGATTTCCTTCCTCCCCCCCCCCTTTTTTTTTTGTGGCAACTGCTAAAACAGGCATAGAAATGTTTTATGAGTTGACACCATCCATGTAGGAACTAAGGAATTCATTCCGTGCAAGTAGTCCTTGACTTACAACCATTCGAAGTTGCGAGTTTGAAAAAAGTGACTTACGACTGTTTGTCACACTTCTATGATCACCTGACCAAAATTCAGACGCTTGGCGATTGGCATGTACTTACGGCGGTTGCAGCGTCCCTGAGGTCACGCGATCCCCTTTTGCGACCTTCGGACAAGCAAAAGTCAACAGGTCAACTTAACAACCATGTGACTAAGTTAACAATGGCAGAGATTCACTCCACAACCATGGCTAGGAAGGCTGTAAAAAGGGGGGCAAAACTCAATTAAAAAAATGTTTCCCGCCGCCACAGAAATTTTGGCGGTAAGTGGAGAACCTGCATTTTGGGGGGGATGGTTCATACTATGACTGTAAAGCTCGTCGTACCAAATTGACAACAATCACATCTGCTTGGTTTCCCACTGTTTGGGTTTTTTTTAATTATTATTATTAGTTTCCATGCAAAAAAAAAAAACTGTGACAAAAGCAGAGCCCAGCATTTTAAACAAAGTGGTTGTTACAACTGTCCTCAAAGATTGTGTCTCCTGGGCGTTGAGACCACTGTCAGAGTATAGAAAATGTTTCCGCTTTAAAGAGTTTACCAAACCTATAGAATATCTTCCATCTTATGGTATGTTTAGTTTGGGGTCCCCAAACTTGGCCACTTTAAGACTTGTGGACTTCAACTCCCAGAATTCCCCAGCCAGCCATGCCTGCTTTTCTCTCTCTCTTAATCTCCTAAAGGGGAGAGAGATTGCAGAGGAAGGGATTACAAGAGAGTAAGTGATGCTGGCTGGAGAATCCTGGGAGTTGAAGTCCACAAGTCTTAAAAATGGCCAAGTTTGGGGACCCCTGATCTACACTGTTGGGATACTTACGCGTTCCACTGTATCACAGCTGATCTGGTGTACATTTCCGGTAGTCGACTTACAACCTCAATGGGGCCCCAGATTTCTGTGGCTAAGAGAGACACATTATCTGTTGAGTGAACTTCACCCCATTTTACGATCTTTCTTGCCCCCATTGTTAAGTGAATCCCTGCAGTTGCAGCACGGTGGGTTAAGTGGCTTTCCCCCTTGACTTCACTTGTCAGGTCGCAAAAGGGGATCACTTGTCCCCGGGGGACACCGCAACCATCATAAATATGAGTCGGTTGCCAAGCCGGCTGAATTTTGAAGGTTGATCACGTGACTGTGGTGATGCTACAAAGGTGGTAACTGGAGAGAAACGGGCGCATGGCAAGAAAGATGGTAAAACGGCAAAATTTACTTAACAGCTGCCTTGCTTAGCAGCAGAAATTTGAGGGCCATTTTGTGAGCCTAAAAATCAGAAGATTTTGCAGCCGTAAGTTGAAGTTTCTATATTTTTTTTCTTTTAGCACCGTTAAAAACTCTTTACTCCTTTGAGTTTCTGACTGAAAAAAAGACCTTGGTCACAACGGCTACATGAACTTTTCTCATGACAATGCATAGAATATTAGTATATCTAAAGAAGAAAAATCATGAAATGCTCTGAAAAGCAAATTTTACAATGTAGCACCTGAAACTTCTAGACCGCATATCCCAAAGGTCTTTTTTTTCTTCAAGAGGTGACTGGACTTCCTTGTTTTTTCTTTTGAAGACGTTTCGCTTCTCATCCAAGGAGCTTCTTCAGTTCTGACTGAAGATGGCGGGGAAGGGAAGGATTTATACTCCTTGCAGACAGAGCTGGTCATTTGCATCCTTTTAGAGGATCGTTGAGGCCACTTGGAGGTTTATCTGTGTCCTCAGAGTCACCTGAGTGGTGCTCCTGGTTCCTCTGGTCTGCAATTTTTCCCTGGAAATCATTCCAGCTCTCACACCATTCCAAGGGTGTTTATCCCAAATTATATAGCTTCTCTACAGACTTCTAGGCATCATATCCCATTTCTGGAAAAAAATATCCCTAGTTGCACGCTTCATCTTTGTCTCACTAGTCCGACTCATCTTCCTCGTACACCACATAATAACATAAGTACATACTGCTTGACATAAGCCTAATCTTGCTTCTGGCTAAAATCCCATTTATTTTATCTGGTGTATGTCAACTCTAAGACAACTAGCAACGTTCTGGACATTTTAAAACTGCTTCTAAGCTATACATAATGTATTATCTGCTTTCAAGAGACTTCCTGATAGTATGAGAATAAAATCTAAATAAACTCTGCTGCTCTGTGCATGAGTGTGTTTGTGTACACACACACACACACACACACACACACACACACAGAGGTCTGTTTTCCCTTTAGCCTATTAGTCATCACAGCAAAGAGCTCAAAATGCATCCAAGTTCAGGTATTCCTTGACTTATGACCACAATTGAGCCCAAAATATATATTGCCAAATGAGGCATTTGTTAAGTGGGTTCTGTCCACTTTCTTGTTAAGGGAATTGCTGCTGTTGTTGAGTTAGTGACATGGTTGTTAAGTGAACCTGGCTTCCCTCTTTTTGCTTGTTGCAAAAGGAGAAGCCCCAGGATACTGCGACCGTCATAAGTGTGAACCAATTGCCAAGCATCCAAATTTTGATCGTAGGGAGGCCGCAACAATTGTTCAGTGTGAAAAATGGTCCTGAAGTCACTTTTTTTTTTCAGTGCCCTGGTAACTTTGAACGGTCACTAAATGAAACTGTTGGAAGTCGAGGACTACCTGAAATACATCTTCAAAGACTCTAGAAATGTGCCTTGATAAGAACGTCTAGCAGATGAAAGCCTTATCATCGGTTTCTAGACTATAATGCAACTGATAACTGGCGCAGGAATCGGATCCTCTGCCACTCGTTTCCCAAGTAGCTGAGCTCAAGGAAGGAATTTGAAACCCCGGCGTGAAAAATATCAGGAATCCAACCTGCATCTTTTAGTCACTTTGTGTTTGTGAAGGGGATGCAGTAACATACAGGAAAGTTGGTTCCCTTTCTCTTCCGTTTTTATTTTTAAATTGCACCTCTAGTTTATTCTTTCTATGTACCCAGAAGATCTGCAAACTTTCTGCCCCTGAAACTTGTGCCACGAGCCGTAGTATCGGTGTCTGTATTAGATGCCGCCGCCTAACTCTCGGTTACTCTGTGTTCTAGGCGATGCCCCTTTCAAAGTTACCGCTGAAGCAGGGAGGGAATATTGTGACATGATCTTACAGCAGGATTTTTGGGGGGTTTTTTTTGTCTTAAAGTAAGATTAATTTCCCCTCTCTCTCTTTCTTACAGTCTTTTCAGGGGAGCCAGGGACGAGCCTACCTCTTTAATTCCGTGTAAGTACTTCCCGCTTTTCCATGGCGCTGAGAAACGTTTTGGTATTGCTGGCTTGGTTGTGGGGTGGGTTGAGTTAGAGAGAGGGAGGGAGAGAGAGAGAGAGAGAGAGAGAAAGGGAGGGAGGGAAGGAAGGAGAAAGAACGAAAAAAAAGAAAAAAAAGAAAGAGAGAGGAAAGGAAAGGAAAAAGAGGGAAGAAGAAAGAATGAGAAAAGGGAAGAAAGAAATGATGGAAGGGAAGGAAGAGAGGAGAGAGGGAGGAAGAAGAAGAAAGGCAAAAGAAAATGAAAGGAAGGTTGAATTACAACTTCCAGTCAGCAACATCACACTGTTAGGATAATGCTAAGGAATGACAGGGAAGATGGATATTCTTGCCCAGTTCCCTTGGAGTGACGCAAGAGTCGCATTTAAGCTCCTTTTTTTTACTTATTTCATGCCAAGAAGCAATTTCAATTTAATTTTCAATCAGAATAGAGCTGGAAGGGGCCTTGGGGGTCTTCTAATCTAACCCCTCGCTCAATTGCATGACCTCCCATTTTGTAAGTGGTAAATCAATGGATCTGGAGGATGGAAACAACTCCTTTGTCTTCAACGTAGCTTCCGAATCAAGCTCAGGAAACCTTTCCCTCCAAGGCCTGGCCATCGGTGTTATTCTTCTACTTCTGCGTAGACGGGCATCATACGTTCGATGAAACCATCTCTGTTTCTCCCGTCGTCTCTTGCAGGGTGAATGTGGGCTGTGGACCTGCGGAAGAGCGAGTTCTCCTGACGGGCTTGCACGCTGTAGCAGATATTTATTGTGAAAACTGCAAAACCACCCTCGGATGGAAATACGTAAGCCTTTGCGCTGGGCGTGGCCTCAGTGATCTTGGTTGATGTTGGCTTGATGCAAAAGAGGGAGCCCACGATCCCTGCTAGTCCTTATAAGTTTTGGGTCCGTTGGTTGAGCTGGCAGTTGGGAGAAGGACTGAAACGGGCACAGTCCACACTTCAGTACCAGTTGCACTAGATAGTTTCCGTTTTCAGTCAGAATAGAGCCGGAAGGGACCTTGGAGGTCTTCTAGTCCAACCCCTTGCTCAAGTAGGAGACCCTATACCAAGGGTCTTCAACCTTGGCAAGTTTAAGACTTGTGGACTTCAACTCTCAGAATCCCTGAGCTAACATGACTGAGGGAGGAATTCTGGGAGTTGGAAGTCCACAAGTCTTAAAGCTCTCAAGTTTGAAGAGCTCTACCCTATACAATTTCAGACAATTGGCGCACCCACAACTTCTGGTGGCCAGCTGTTCCACTGGTTAATTGTCCTCACTGTTAGGAAGTTTCTCCTTCGTTCCTGGTTGCTTCTCCGCTTGATTAGTTCCCACCCATCGTTTCTCGTCCTGCCTTCTGGGGCTTTGGAAAATAAGTTGACCCCCTTCTCTTTGTGGCAACCCCTCCAATCCTGGAATACGGCCTTTAGTCAAGTAGGCCAACCCCAGGTTTCGAAGGGCAGAGAGTACAGGTAGTCCTCCACTTATGACCCCCAAAATTACTGTTGCTAAGCGAGACAGTTGCTCAGTGAATTTTGCCCCCTTTTACAACCTTCCCTGCCACGGTTGTTAAATTAGTAAAACGGTCGTTTAAGGGAACCTGGCTTCTCCGTTGACTTTGCTTGTCAGAAGGTTGCAAAAGGGGCCCTTCCAACCGTCATAAAGGCGAGTCAGCTGTGGAGAATTACGAACGTCGATCATGCGGCCATCGGTGCGAAAAACGGTCCCAAGTCAGTGCCGTTGCAACTTCGGCCGCTAAACGGACCGTTGCGAAGTCGAGGACTAGCTGCAGGCGAATGAACCAGCCTGCCCTGAGACGGAGGGGAGAGCTGAGCTGTGCTTTCTTCCCTTTGCAGGAACACGCGTTTGAGAGCAGCCAGAAATACAAAGAAGGGAAATTCATCATCGAGCTCGCTCACATGATCAAGGACAACGGCTGGGAATGAACTGCAATAGGACTCCTTGTCTTTGGACAGACAACCCATCTAGGGAAACAGGCTTATATTTTATATATATATATATAACAAAGAAAAGACTCCATGGGGGTGGGGAGAAAAAAAAGAAGAAAAGAAAAAACAAAATGGGGCTGAGCTGAGTTGAGAAAAATCTCATCCGCCCAGTGATGTGATGTTGCGGTCCTTCCCTTCTCTCCAGAATATCTCTGCCCTGGGGTTTTTGTGTGCGCGTGTGCGTGTGCATTCTTCCCTCCCTCTTCCCCTCCTCTCTGTGCAAATCCCCTCTTTTTTTTTAATCTGTGCAAACCCGTTATTTTTGGACGAACCTTTTTCTATGCGCTCCAGGAGGGGGAATTCCAGACCTCCGGGTCACCTGTGCTAAGGTAGCTCTCTCTCTCTCCTTTTGACCGACGCTTTCGGTTGCTCCTTTTGTGGTTTGATTGCCGATTGTCCGCTCCAGGGTTTGAAAGGCGGCCCTGCACGGACGGTCCCGAGAATGTATAGGATGGAGGACATCTTTTATTTTAGGCCCCTCCTCTAATTAGCCATTTCTGTAGTCTCTTTGCGGTGAGAAGGATTGCAGTATTCTACTACTCATTTATTCTTTCTTTCTTTTTTTTTTTAAAGCATACCGCGGCCCATTAGATATTATTTTGGCTAGGTTTTGCTGAGAGATTTGGTTAGCCGGTGTGACTGAATCTAGCCAGGATTTGCTTGTCTGTTTGGTTGTGTTTTGTTCTTTAAAAGAGAAACTGTCAGAAAAGAGATTGAGTAATAATTTACAAGGCTAGCTTCAAACTGTAGATCCAAATCAGATACATTATGAAGAGAAGCTGAAAAGATTTTTGCCCCTGTTAAAAAGGAAAAAAACAAAACGAAGAATGTACAGCAGGGTCTTTTAAGATCAAAGGGCTGGAAAAATACGCAGCTCTTATTTTTAATATGTCGGTTTCAAATGTTTTTGGTACTGTACCTTGGGAATGGGAAAAAGGATTTCTTTTATGGCTGGTTCCATGTAGTTTTACCTAGTTTTAATGCACTGGATGCGAGGAGGGTAGTTTCACAATCATCCAAGTCCCCGGCTTTGGCAATACTGAAGCACACACCAAAAGTGTGCAGTTGTGTGCGAGTTGTGTTGCATGAGTGCGTACGAAAAAGCTGTCACCGATCCCTCTGGAGCAGGTGGTTAAAAAAAAAAAAAAGTTTCGCAAGCGAATAAAAAGTGACAACTTGGCGTTTTAAAAAAAGGAACGAAAGAAAGAAAGCATGAAGGTAGTTTTTTGGTTTTTTTTTCAAAGGGGGTGTGCGTGCGTGATTTGCTGGCTGAATCGTCCCTAAGCACAATTTTTTTATAATAAAACTGTTAATGTAAAAGAAACATCATCTGGGAATTTTTTAAAAAACAACAACCCCACCCACTCCATAGTCAGTGGGTTGGGTCAGAGAGGACCACTATATACGTGTGTAAAAGTGCGTAGCATTTCTCCACGGGAACTTTTTATGCATACCATTTCAAGAGATGTGAAAACTTGGGGGGGGGGGGGGGGGCGGTTTTTTTGGGGGGGGGGGGGGGGTTGCAATTTTCTTTTTCCTTCCAAAATAATTCCAAGGGGGGGGGGGGAAATGTATAGAACATTTTACCCGAATCATACCGAGCCACTGACAGCATGAGTAACAATAACTATAATAATAACAATATAGGAAGCTTTACAATGGGAACGCTAACGTACTTCTTACCTGTTGCACTGCAACTTCAGCTTTTTGTCTGTCCCTAATGGCTGCTAGTAAGCTCATCTAACTGACATTCAGATCTCGAATTGCACTTTAGCTTTATCCTTCCTTATAAAAATAGCAACCGTCTTCTCCTGAACGTTGAATGCTTTCCCTCCTGTATGCCAAGCTCCCCTCCTTATTTCATTCCTCCGTAAATCCTTTTGGGTAGAAGAACGATTTTACACTGTGATGCAAAAAAAAAAGAAAAAAGGATATTGAATATATATCTTAAATCTATTTAAGCGTGTGTGTTATGTGTATATAGTTACCTTTCAGGCATTTGGATCCAAAGAGCTGTCCTCTCCCTGACAGCTAGTCTCAGATTTTGTATGACCTTTATTCTGGTGCTTTATTTAGTGTGAACGACTTTTGAAACCCAGTGAATCTTCAGTCCGCAGCAGAACTGAGAACTCCTCTTGATTCACATCCAGAACAGCAGCCGTTTCAGCCTTCCGAGAGTTTTACTAGAAGACGAGAGGCTGGCTTGTTAGGGATGCGTGCTTGTTAGTTGTGTGCTTGTTAGGAGTCCCTTGAGGTGTGGAATAATTCAATTGAGGGCAACTGGATGGAGAGTCCTCCGCGTAGGAACCGTTACAGCATCCATAAACCCTCCTGCGCGTTTTCTGACTCGCAGCCTTTAAGAACCGGTGGTTTATTCAAACAAAAGTAGCTTCTTGTACTCCTCTCTACAAATCCTTGAAAGGTCCGGTTCTGATGGATCTCCCCTTCCCTGTGAGTTCGGCGTCCGCCGCTGTCGACAAAAGTCCTGGATTTTTTAAGTGGCTAGATTGTCAGCGTTGTTGGCCTACAGCGGTGGCCATTCGCTTTTTCCCTTCTACCATGAACGCTTGCTTTACTAACGTGGTTGCTCTCGCCTTGACGCATTTCTCGAATCATCTGAAAGATCACTTTGTGGGGATTTTGAGAAGATGGGAAGCTTGAAGGGAAGAAGAAAGGTGGAGGGGAAAACCTTGCGAAAGAATGTATTTTAATCAGAGAACGCTTGGGCCGAACTACATCTTACACACAAAGCTGAAAATTCACACGGCGTGGTAGAAATCCACTTGAAGTGGATTTTACACTAAGTAGCTGTCTACCAAGGAGTAGTTTCTCATAACGAAAACGGGGACACCATGCCTATTTGTGTGTAATATGTAGTCCGGTGGGCCTTTTGGGTCTATGCAGGTGGATGTTTTCCCAAGAATTTTTTTTGGTTTCACCCAGATGCCAAAAAGAAGGGAAAGTGGAAGATCAAATTGCAGCTTAAAAATCAGATGCAATTTATTTATTTATTTATTGGGGGGGGGGAGGGGCAGGAAATAAGCATTTCAAGGTACCAAACAGAGCAATATTGCGAATTTTGAAACAAGGGACGTAAAAAGGCTGTAGGGAATTTTAAATCCAGAACAAAATTGCGTAGGTCTGAAGTAGCATTTCTGTTTTACGATTCCTGGGAATTGGCAGTCTCTTTGACTTGGCCTTCTAAGAATTCCTTCAAACTGCATCATTCAAACGGACAGATTTGGTGGATCCAGATACTGCTGGATGATTGGTTGAAGTCTAAAAAGATCAGTCTGGTTACTGAACTTTCCAGCGTTACATTGAAAAAAAAAAAAGATACTTGAACATTACCAAGCATTTTCCCATTTAAACTGTGTTTATTTTTTATTTTTTGGTAACGTATTCTATTTAAGAGTTTGTGTGTGCTTTGTGGGTAAGTTTTAATCTTCCCTTTCAACTTGAGCACTTTTGTTGCTTATTTTTATTACTGTTGATCTTAACGTTTATTTTATATATATATATATATATACATACATATATATATATACATATAAATATATATATATATATATATATATATATATACACTATATATTTTATAAATTGTAACAGCGATTTTTGTGAACATCTACCTACTAGATCTCTCCTCTCTTTTTGTGAAGTGGGTGAACTGACTACAAGCTGGTTCTTGAGAAGGTTGTTCATTGGCACTTAGAGGAACAGGCTGCCAACATTTACATTTGTGAAGTGTGTATGTGAGGCTTTTTGTTGTTGTTGTTGTCGTTCGTAGGAGTCCATAGTCATGGCTCTTGTAAAACAACCATCCAACCCAAACCCGATTCAGTGCCAGTTCAGAATTCCTAGATCTTATGATGTCTGGGAGAAAAATCATAATTTCTTGGTGGACATTTTCAGAAATTTTAGAACTGCTGGTTCAGCTATTCCTTCCCCTAAAGGCAGATTTTCTTTTCGGTGGCAGTTATGAGTGACCTTGAAACAACCACACACTTTCCAGATGATTTGTGGACAGCGTTCATTAGCTGTCCCACCAGTGTTGTGAGGCTGAGGATATCTGGCCTGCTTGTGATGCTTCATGAATCTGTTAGCTTGTGTTTGGATCTTTCCTACGGACACCTCCAAATTCTACGGTCGCTTTTAGGGAACTTGCGTGACAGAACCGCAGGGCAAATATCGTGATTAAAATTCATTTGGATCTGCAGGAAAGTTACACCTCCTAGTTGCCCGTGTTTTGCAAGGAAAGAACCAATAACCCGTATCGGCCGTGAACAGTGTTGATCAGCGTGAAAACCAATACAAGGTTTTTGGCCCTTAATCTGGAACGGGAGGTTTGTTTCTTGTTTCCCCGATAAGGCGAAATCTGCCCCGGACTTGGGAAAATAACTATAATGAGACTTTAACTTGCCTTGGTAGGTTCAAAAAAAAGGGGGATTATTCAACTGAATGGTTCAGTAAGCACCACAGTCATTCTCCTGAGTGTAAAACCAACCAGTTAGTGTGAGTTGTATTTAAAAAAAAAAAAGGGGGGATTTCAGAAAAGCAAACACACATAGTGTCAAACACATACATTTGGTGGCAGTTGGTGTGTGCCTCATTGCTGGAACAATTTTGGGGGGAAAAATGCTTTATTTTTTTGCAGCTGACGTGGCTTCTTCCTGGTTCTCGCCTCAGCAATACTATACACAATTTGTGGTTTCACTTTATTGTATCTCTTTGACAGTATCACAATAAAAACTTTCCGTTGTTTTGTTGAATGTGACTTTTTATTTTCTCTCTCTCTCTCTCGGGCCACATTTTCCTCCCCAAATGGTTGATGCGTCATTTTTGTTTGGTGAGAAAGCAGTTTGGAGACGGGCCTCAAAGTCTTGCTCCCCAAGAGATAGTCCTTGACTTATGACTGTAACCGAGCCCAGGACTTGTGTTGCTAAGCGAGACAGTTGGATACAGAGTCAAGGTTTTATTCCCATAGATAGTCCTCGTCTTACAACCAAAACTCAGCCAAGAATTTCCGTTGCTAAGCAAGATACTTGTGGGTTTTGCCTCATTTTACAACCTTTCTTGCCACAGTCGATAAGTGAATCCTTGCAGTTATTAATTAACACGGTTGTTCAGTGAATCTGGCTTCCCCACGGACTTTGCTCGTGAGAAGGCCGCTAAAGGGATCACACAGCCCCCGGGACTCTCCAGCCGTCATAAAAATGAGTCAGTTGCCAAGCATCCAAATTCAAATTGCATCACAGTGGGGATCGTGTAATGGCCGTAAGCGTTGTGTCCATTTTTTTCAGGGCGCTTGCGATTTCAGTCACTAAACAGTTATAGGTCGACACCTATTTGCATTTCAGAAAATATTTCAATTTTTTATTTGTTTATTAAATGTATATGCTGACAACCCCCCCACCCCCCCGACAAGAACTCCGGGTGGCAAAAACGGATAGTTTGGGTTGTTTGAAAAAAAAAAAAAAACCCACCCTACTCCTGTTCATTTTCTCCCTCCCTGCTTGCCTGCCTCCCCAGTGTGTGTGGCAACAGCACAAAGGCCGATTGTCACAAACCCTTGCTGATCTGGCAGAAAGATCCCCCTTTCTTCCCGTTGCGGCTCTAATCTGGAGGCGATGAGACACGGAGGCCAAGAATGAGGAGAAACGGCTGTGGGCACAATCCACACAATGGTTGGCGCTGTTCGCTTCGGCTCACCAACGCAGGCAGCTAAGCCGCATCGTCTCCCTACGACGTTCAGCCTCCCTCTCTTATCTGAGTTGTCCTTCCACCCGTCATCTCTGCGCTGAATCCTCGTAGAACTTTCCCTCTTTGTTTTTTGGAGAGCTCTGCGCCATCCCCACTTAAATCGATACGTCCGTGCAATAACTTGGAAAACCTCCAGTTGGTGCCCGGGAAAGTTTTATTTTATTTGTTGATAAATTTATATGCTGCTCGCTGTCGAGCGACTCCGGGCAGCTCACAGACATTCGCAAAAGCGAGTACAAGTCATCCTTCCGTCCTTCATCTTTGCGCTGGATGTCCTGAATTAGACTTTCCTCTGTATATTTGGAGAGCTTTGCGCAATCCCTGAACTGCAGAAGCTTCCCTATGGCACGTGGGGAGAGCCAATATGGACTGAGTCCCAACGGGCAATCTAGGAATCAAGGTGTGCTGTTGTGCCCTCTCTCTCTCACACACACACATAACTCTGGTTTAGTGGGTTTATTAACACTCCCCAGTAACTCCCTGCATCCAAAACCCAGAACTGTCCCGATTAAGTCCAGCCACAAGCAGACCGATGTTAAGTCTCCAGGACAATGGCCAAAGAGTCCGTGAAGCCCTTGAAAGTTTCCCAATCGAGATAAAACCCACCAGTCAAAATTAAATCCACAATACAAGAGGGTTCACGAGGCAAGGCAAGTCCAGAGTTTGCAAGACATGATCTGAGTTCGAGGCATGAGGTCCATCTGAAGCGAGGCAAGAATCACAACAGCCAGAAAACACACAGCTAGCAAATCGTTCCAAGCATCACACAGCCCATCAAGAGAGGCGAGGCTGCCTCCGCGTGAGTAATCTGGCTGCCCTATGTGTTTTTGGATCAAGTGCAGAAGGCAGTTGTTCCTCCTCCTTGTTGACTGGCTGTAGCTGCATCCTTTCCCCACTTGAAGCCTCTGGGCTGTCCTGCTGCAGCTGTGGTTGAGCCAAATCTCTCTCAGATAGCTGCTCAGGGCCACTGATCAAATCCTTTCCAGATGTGCCCAGAACCGGTTCATTATCCTCCGAGCTGACATCTGGAGAAAGGGTATCTGGGGAAGCATTCAGGAGAGTCGTCACACAAAGTGGGGACCAATCCTTTGCTTAAATTCCACAATTGCCCGCGGATGGTAAGTTTTCTTAGCCAGTTGATAAATACAAACGTGGGGATTGGCTAATTCAGAACCGGGTTAGCCAAAATGTTAAAAAAGGGTTTGCAAAGGAAAAGAGAAACCACGAAGACCGAAGTGCCCGTCAATTCATTTTCCTCCTTGCTCTTAATTCAATTTAGGGCTTCCTTCCCAAGTGGTTTGACATCACTTCCAGTTGAGAGACCATCACTGCCGCAGGGAAGCCGGTAAGCATTCAAGGCCGCTCTATCCAGCATTGTTTAGGACTTCCTTTTCCCGAAAAAAACAAAAACAAACCCCGTGTCTGAAACATTTGCCTCTGGTCTTTAAAGAAAGCAGGAAAGGCATCGGCTCAAAAAATTGCAGAGAATAGATCCTAAAGCATATAAAACATTCAACTGGAACAAAAGGATCATAGGGTCGCATGGGACTCTAAACCAACTCCCTGCTCAAGGCAGAAGACATAACCATCCCGGTCAAATGACTGTCCAGTCTTATTGTTGAAAACGTCCAGTTTGGTACCCTGGCAACATTTATTTATTAAATTTATATGCTGCTCACCATCAAGTTAACTCTGGGCAGCTTACGACAATGCAACAGCAAGTACATGAGGTTAAAACGTAGAGAAAAGAAACAGATTAAATAAGAAAAATCAAAATACAACAGGGCGAAGTAGGGATTTTCCTTCTCGTTTACTAACCATCTCTGGTGTGGAGTACCCCACCCATTGGAGCCCCCAAATATTTCTCCAAAGTAGAAGAAGCCAAGACTTGTTGGGGAAAACTGGGGCCTGAAGTCCACAGGTCTTAAAATTACCAAGATTGGATACTCCGTTCCAGAGCGGGATTAGATGAAAAGGCTGTTTTTATTTTTCAATTCAGCTGAAGTGGCTTTTGTTATCCTGGATCAGATCATTCATTGTAAAAAAAAAAAGAAAAGCATAATACCTGGAACCGATAATAGAATTACAAGAAAGACATAGTTTTGGTATAGGGAAATAATGAGTACGAGGGCACTTGGATCAGGAAAAAAAAAAATATTTCCATTTTTTATTTAGCTCTGCTTGGTTGTTCCGTGCCGAACAATGTCTTCTTCTGATCAGGAAATCATTTTAGAAATCGTGCATTGGAGTCTTCTATATAAAATTAGAACTTTCCAATAAAACATAAATAATACAGCCTGCATAACCTTTCTTAATAGGAATGACTCACTTGGCTGCAGACATTAAAAGCTTTCGTTAAATGCTCTTTATGGAAAATGGTTACAGCCACTAATGGCCCCTTTCTCCTGAGCCTTCAGAGTATAACTCAACCCCAGAACAATTTTTCAGGTTCTTGTTGGCTTCTTCCTCCAATGGAGCCCCTAAGGGATTGGAACAACTCCATCCAAGGTATTATAGGTTTTTCTTGAGGGCAGTACTAACTTAATACAAGTTTGTGAAGTCCTTGGTGCTCTCTGAGCTTGGTTGTTTTCTAGCAGACGTTTTATGACCTGCCTAGGTAACATCATCAATGCTTAGAAGGGTGTGGGGTCTGCAGAGTGGAGGAGAAGTGGGGGAGGAGGAGAAGATGGGGAGGAAGAGAAGGTGGAGGTTCTCTGAGCTTGGTTGTTTTCTAGCAGACATTTCATGACCTGCCTAGGTAACATCATCAGTGCTCTGATGCATTCATATAGTGCTGTTGGCCTTACTTTTGGGGGTTTAAACTGCCCTAAACGGTTTATGCAGCTTTCCTCAGCATTGCTCTCTGCTGATGATTCGCTTCACTCTTCTTTTGTTGGCCTAAAAATCAGTCTGCGGAAAACTGGGTTGTTTTCCTTCTTTACAACATATTCATACTTTTAGATCATTCTGAACTTGGCAAGTTTCACCAGCCTCCTTTCAGCTTCGTAATTTTTCTTCCACTTCTTGCCCTGCCTCCTTCTTTCTATTTTCATACGCAGGCAAAACTACAACCTTTTCTTCAAAAGGACTCGAGGCCCATTACAAACCTTGGAATGGAATGGAATAATGGGATGGAATGGAAGAATAAGAATAGAAGAATGAAAGAATAAGAAAGAATAGAATAGAATAGAATAGAATAATGGAATGGAAGAATAAGAATAAGAATAAAGAATAGAATATTAGAATAGAATAATGGAAGAAGAAGGAGGAGGAGGAGGAGGAGGAGGGATAGGATAGGATAGGATAGGATAGGATAGGATAGGATAGGATAGGATAGGATAGGATAGAATAGAATAGAACTGGAAGGGAGCCTTGGAGGCCTTCTAGTACAGCCCCCTGCTGAAGCAGGAAAACCTATATCGTTTCAGACAAGTGACTGTCCAGTCTCTTTTTAAAAATATGGGTGACTTCATTTTTCTGGCAATGAAATGATTGGGGTGGGGGAAAATCCTAAGTCAGCAGGCTTCTAGGCGAGGGGGAGGTTGAGCCCCAAACTGACAATCGGGAGACAAATGAAAATGTAAAACTTTAATGAAAAATATTTCACGGAATCCATCCCGCTTACAAATTTTGTGACCCAGGAAACTTGTACAAAAGTACATTGCAACAGGTTAATTTTTCAAAAGACCACAATTTGCACGGAGTATATACGCACTGTTTCCTCCGCAAATCCCTGAACAGTCCCCCCAAAATTAATAATAATAATAATTTTAACAAAGAAAACCAGTGACCGATCGGACTACACGGCTAGAATATTCTATCCAGGTAGCACAAGACTCAAGCAGATTGATTGCACCCAAAGCTAACTCTCCCTATTTTAGCTCGGTAGGACAAGTGGCAATTCTCATTTTTAGCATGAATGGAGTTAATTGTCATCTTCCTCCTGCTGCAGAACATTTGTCAATGAGATCATCCCCGAAGGAAAAAGTGGTGGGCGATTAAGGATTTTTTTTTTTTTTAAAAAAACCCAACCTCCCTGTGTGTGTTTTTTAGCTTGGAAGCTACTGTTAGAAACGGATGTGAGAGGCATCAGAAGTTTGACCCAAACTCAGTGTTTTCTGACATTTGAACGACAACTCTTGAGAGATTTTACTGACCTCTCTAGATGTGTAGGTTTCCCAGAAGGCTCAAGCTGGATGGCCGGTGCTGATAATTTCAGGAATGGACTTCTGAAACTAAAAGCACATGTCCCCAACAGTTAACTCCATTTGGGTGGAGATGGGGAACTAAGCATTGCCATCAAAGGGCAGTGATGAAGAAAAGGGGCTAAAATGCAGCACCTTTGTATCTTTGGGAAAGATCCTTCAACCCTTCATCATCCTCTTCTAACAATCCCATAATCCCTTGCGGAGTGGAGCTTGGGTAACTGAATGGAGCTAGCAGAGCGGTTTACTGGCCCGATGCCTTTCCTGTCACCAGTGCAGAGTTTTTTGTTCAGCAGATATAGTCTCAGTGTGCCTGGAGAGAGAAATATCTGCTCTACCTAAGATTGAACTCACAACCTCCTGATAGCGAGAGCTCAACCTCTTGGTAACCACACCACTCCAAAGATCCTCCAACCCTTCCTTGTTGCTATTTTGCCTTTCTTCACACAAACGCTTCCCAGTTACTGTTCTGTCTGCTCAACTTTTATCACTATTAGCAAGTAATCGATCACTTTACGCCCTTTGGTTTTGGATCAGTTTGCTTCTGGGGTCCAGAAATCCTTCTGTCTTCCAAACGAAGGGAGTTGAAATTCCCCAAAGAGGTAGGTAAGATCAAGTGGCTAGCTGGGTTAGGCCAATAACAATAACTCCACCGGGAGTTTTCCTAGAGGCCTCCTCAGATATTTTAGGCTACACATCAGAGGGAAGATGGGCCAACAGCTCTTCAGTAGCTAAGAGAAACTGGAGCAGAGCTGTGGCATTAGGTGGATATGTGTGGGGTGGGTGTATTTTGAAGCAGAATTCTCACTGAGCATCGGTTGAGGATCTGTATCCATCACCACCTGTAAACAAGGATGTTGGCTTGAAATGTCTAGGTGGGAAATCAACAGGCTGCAGAGATAAAAGTTTGTTGTTCAAGAGCATCTGGGCAGCTCTTCAAAATGGGAAGCGCCTGGGAGGGACTGTCGCTTCCCCCACCCAAAGTGTCTTCTCCCAAATTCAATCGCTCAGCTGTGAAATGGAAGATCTCTCTCCTTTCTTCTACTTGGAACACGCCTCACCGAAAGAAATCTGCAGGAATCTTTCTGGCTTGTCACTGACTTACAGGCACCCCGCGAAAAGCCTTAACTTTCCCCAAAGCTCTTCCCAAGCCCACAAAAGGCTGCCAGGGAAACAATATTAAGGGGAAAGATTACAGCCAAGAGTCTCCTATTTTTTTGGACGGCGGCAGAGGGCACAGACCTGGCTCTTCTCCATTCCAAGCTGGAAGGTTTGGAGTTGGTCCTCCCCTGTGGGCTACCACGAGCTGAAGTCTCCGAAGCCTCCCGTTTTCTTCTCCTTCTTGGCCAGGCCGCTGGTGGACGGTCCCTCTTCCGCTGCGCGCTTCCTGCGTCACAAAATGCCCAAGTCAAACCCTCCCCATTCCTGCAAACAGACCCTGCCTTTAAGGTTCTCCAGAAAGAGTGCAAGAGAGGAGCGGAAATGGACAAAGGGGAGACCAGGAGGACACATCGACCGGTAGTTTCCCCCCACTTTAAAATAAGTGAAAGTCTTTCCGCCTCTTCTTTCAGTGGAACATTAAGAAAAGTGAAGTGTGAAAAGTTCTAATGTCATTTTGAATGGGAGGTCAGGAGAAGCAGGAAGCGATTAATCGCCTTAAGGGATCTGGTCTCCATCCATTCATCTAACTGGCTCTTGGGACAAACTGATTCTGGTTTGGTCCTGTTCTATTCCTTTTCTCTATTCCATTCCATCCTGGTATTATGTTTTCCTATTCTATTCTATTCCCATAATTCTATTCCATTTATTTTAATTCTATACTATTTTCTATTCTATTCTATATATTCTATTCTATTTTATATTCTATTCTATTCCATTCTATTTCCATTTCTATTTTGTTCTGTTCTGTTGTTCTATTCTATTCTATTCTATTCTATTCTATTCTATTCTATTCTATATTCTATTCTATTCTTTCTTTTCTATTTTCTGTTCTATTCTATTCTATATTCTATTCTATTCTATATTCTATTCTACTTTTTTCTTTTCTATTTTCTGTTCTATTCTATTCTATATTCTATTCTATTTTTTCTTTTCTATTTTCTATTCTATTTATTTTAATTCTATTCTATTCTATTCTATTCTATTCTATTCTATTCTATTCTATTCTATTCTATTCTATTCTATTCTCTATTCTTTCCATATTCTATTCTTTCCATATTCCATTGTATTCGATTCGATTCCATTCCATTCATTATCCTATCCCATCCTTCTATTTCTATTTTTCACTACCTGAACCCACAAAAATGTTCGCACAAATTCAACAGGATCAACTGGCAGAGGTTATTTTTTTCTAGATCACATACACATGCAAGGATTGCTTGATCTCCCCATAAGAAAAGAACCTAGGAATTCCAAAAAGTAAAATACAACCAGAACTTACGCTGCGGCTATATTTATGTATTTCCCAACTCCTGTGCGGTAAGTTTTGGGTGCGGCAGGTTCCTTCTTTGGGACTTCTTTGCTTTCTCTCTTCGTTGCCTCCTCTTCCTGCTGGGCCTTCTCTCTTTCTTGGGCCACCTTGGAGAAAGTGAATGGAGTCAGATCAATCTTCCTGAAAAAAACCTTGAAAATGAGGTTTCAAACGGGCCACAGAGCACATCAGCTGAAAACATGAGGTGGGCAACAGCTGCACGAAGTTTTTAGTTTTTACAACTGTAAGGTGCTCAGAGTCATTGGTTGACATGAACAGCTATAGGAAGGAAGGAAGGAAGGAAGGAAGGAAGGAAGGAAGGAAGGAAGGAAGGAAGGAAGGAAGGAAGGAAGGAAGGAAGGAAGGAAAAGAGATAAAGAGGGAATTGGGAGGGTAATTTGGCAAATGAGTTCCTGAACTCTTTTTGTACTCTCACCTGGGCATCGGCCTCTTCGTATGGATCAACAAAAACTGTTGTGGACTCGATTTTTATTTCCTCCTAAAGTTAAAAAAAAAAAAGGGAGAGAACAGAGGAGTGGGGAAAGCTGCACAGGCCTTTCGCTGCTGCTTGGTGCAAAGTTAAAACCGTTAAATCGAGCCAAGGCTGTTTCGATCCCCCCGTTTGATTTTTTGCCCCACAGAGACTGACCTGGGGACGGTCCGTTTTGGGATCGCTCTCTATGTTCTCCATCGCAGTGAGGGTCTCAAAGCCGCCTACCACTCTGGGGGAAGGAAGAGAAAACCCACGCGGAGTAAGGACGTAGCATGAAAAGCCCAACCAACTTCAAAATTTGGGGGGGGGGGGGAGGAGGGAGCTGGCGTGCCCAATGGAGGGAAGGAACAGAAGGAGGCCCGGTGGTGGACCTGATAAGTCCAAAGGGAAATCATAAGCACCAAATGGAAGGGAGCTGGGGTGTTTAGCCTGCTTCCATTTAGAATGGAATAAGAATAGAATAGAATAGAATAGAATAACAGAATAGAATAAATGATAGAATAGCATAATAGAATAGAAAAATACAATAGAATAATAATAGAATAAATAATAGAATACAACAGAATAATAATAGAATAGAATAGAATAAATAGAATAGAATAATGATAGAATAATAAAATAGAATAGAATAATAATAGAATAGAATAAATAATAGAATGCAATTGAATAATAGAATAGAATAAATAATGGAATAGAATAATAGAATAATAAATAAAATAATAAAATAGAGTAGAATAAATAAAAGAATAGAATAATAGAATAAAATAAATAGAATAGAATAATATAACAGAAAAATAGAATAGAATAATAATACAATACAAAATAGAATACAACAGAATAATAATAGAATAGAATAAATAATAGAATGCAACTGAATAATAGAATAGAATAAATAATGGAATAGAATAATAGAATAATAAATAGAATAATAAAATAGAGTAGAATAAATAATAGAATGCAACAGAATAATAATATAATAAATAACAGAAAACAACAGATTAATAAAAGAATAGAATAGAAAAGAATAAATAGAATACAACAGAATAATAATAGAACAGAATAATAGAATAGAATACAACAGAATAATAGAATAAATAATAGAAAACAACCGAACAATAATAGAACAGGAGAAAAGAATAGAATAGAATAAAGACTAGAGCCATGTGGGGACTCCTGGGAGCGGAGGGGAGGGGTGGGCGGGGCCAGCCAGGAGTGGGACTTGGGGGTTTCTCCAAACTGCACAGAATCTTCACTAGGGGGCTCCCCCGAACCCCCGTGGACCCCCAGCAGCCCGACCCTGGATAGAGAGAAAAGTCTCAGTTTACCTTCCAAAGATGGTGTGCTTCTTATCCAGGTACGCGCAGGAGCGGAAAGTAATGAAGCTGAAAAGGGGGAAAAAAAGGGAAAAAAAAGGGTGCCATGAAACGAACCCTTCAAGAGCTTCCAAAATACGGAGTTCAATCCCAGGTTTGACCCAAACAGCTGGGATTCCTTCTCCGCTCAAGGTACGCACAGGCAGTCCTCGACGTACAACGGTTCACTCAGCGAGCGCTCCAAAGTTACAAACGGCACCACTTTCTGACCCTTTTTCACACTTAAAAAGGCCGTTGGCAGCATCTCCCCCATTGCACGGTTTACGTTTGGGAGGCTTGGCCACCGACTCGCCTTTATGAAGGGGGCAGCCTCCCCGGGGAGGGGGTGTGTGTCACGTGATCCCCCTTTTTGCGACCTTCTGACACGCCGGGCCCACGGGGAAGCCAGATTCGCTTAACAACCGCAGGGGTTCACTTAAAACGTGGCCAAGAAAAAGTCGTTAAAAGGGGGCCGAACTCACTGAGCAAATTTCTCACATATATTTTGGGCTCAAGGAGCACCGTGTACGCCACTTACAACTGAGACTTGTTGGTGTTGGGCCCTGTGTTGGCCATGCTGAGGACACCTCGCCCCGTGTGGGACAAATTGGGCCTCAGTTCGTCTTTGAACGGCTTTCCCCAGTACGATTCTCCTCCTGAAATAAAAAACATGGACATGCCTTTAAAGCCGGCCCTCCTTCCACTTGACAAGAATGAAGACGGGGTGAGAAGGTTAAGAGGGACAGGGGAGAATTTTCCACATGAAATAAAAGCCAACAGGCTGCCTCGGAGCAACTCGTGGGTTCCACCATAGCTCCTCAGAAGCACCTTCTCTGGACGGTGGAGGAGACACTCCATGGACGGTGGAGGAGACATTCCATGGATGGTGGAGGAGACACTCCATGGATGGTGGA